CAAATACTTGGGGGTATATATAGATCAATATCTAAATTGGCAAAAACACATTAATTTACTCTCAAATAGAACTCGCAAGTTAATCCATATCTTCAAAAAACTGCGTAATTCGGCAGATCTGGATACGCTAAGAATCGTTTACTTTGCCTTGTGTCAATCAGTTTTAAGCTATTGTGTACCGGTTTGGGGTGGAGCCACAGAAACAGTCTTCATTCGACTGGAGAGAGCTCAGAGGGCAGTACTGAAAGTTATGTATTCACGACCACTCAGATATCCCACTAAACTTCTTTATGCAGAATGCAATCTTTTAACTGTCAGACAGATATATTGAAAACAATAAAAAAGTTTTGAAATGACAGTTCTAATTTAAAAGAAACGTATTATAATACATAACTTCAAAAAAGTAGGCCTGTGGGCACAGGCGATCGAGATCAAAGGAGAGGCTTGTGCGGTTGGTTTGGACATAGGGAAGGCCCTTCGATCGGGTCTGGTTCGATTGTGTAATTGGCTCACCAGTTTCCTTGTGGACAGAAGCATTAAGGCCGTTGTCGACGGTGCATGCTCCGACTTCAAAATCGTAAATGTTGGTGTTCCACAAGGCTGTGTGCTATCACCCACACTGTTTCTTCTGCATATCAATGACATGTTGAAAACTAGTAGCATTCATTGCTATGTAGATGATAGCAAGGGAGATGCCCTTTAGACAGGCCGCCCCAATAGTTCTCGGGAACCCGTCATCGAGAGTCGAAACAAACTTGTGTCTAAAATTGAAACTTCCTTAGCGGAGGTTTCAGATTAGGGCTGACTAAATCTAGTCCAGTTCAACCCAAAAAAGACACAGGTCTGTGCGTTCACCGCAAAGAAGATACCATTTGTCGTATCACCTCGGTTTAAGAGCACCTCCCTAACTGCCTCAGCTAGCATCGGAATCCTAGACATCGACATATCGAGCGAAGTCCAGTTTCGGGGTCACTTAGAGGGTAAGGTCGAATTGAAATCGAAGAAGCTCGGTGTGCTGAACAGATCGAGGCAGTATTTCACTTCAGCTCTACAAGGCGCAAGTCCGGCCGCATATTTAATACTGTTCTCATCTCTATGCAGGGGCATCTCATCCAACAAAGAGCGACTCGAATCGTCGATAGCCCAAACATCTCCGATCGGTTCGATCCCTTGGCGTTAAGTAGAGATGTGGCTTCACTCTGCATTCTCAATCGCGTATATCATGGAGAGTGCTCTGAGGAATTGTTTGGACTAATACTTTTTGCCCCGCACAACCAATCTATGGAACGGGTTATCGTCTGCGGTATTTCCGGACCGATACGACCTTAAAAACCTTCAAGAAAAGAGCGTACTCCTTCCTAAAAGGACGGCAACGCGTTTGTAACTCCTGAGTTGCAGACGTGCATAGGCGGACACATTGTAGGACATAGGTCCTACAATGTGTGATTCGTAAACACTCGTCTCGTCCTCCTACAGAGCCTGCTGGAAGACTTAAGTACAGGATTTTTCCCTTGGAGATACACAGAACTTCTTTCGCTAAAAGACAATACCATGTCAATAGTATAATGTTATATAACTACCTAAATAAAGTTTTTGGTATATATTCAAAAAATAAATACCAATGTAAAAATATACTCAAAGAATTTCTACTTAAATTGGATTATCGTAACACTGAGGATCTTCTGCTGGGACGCTTGAAATAGTAAATCATACACATACACACATGATCACACTTACATATATACACGCACATACTCGTACACTCATGCGCGTACACACCCACACCTCACACATACATAAACTCGAACACACATTAGTACACACACAGCAACTAACCCTTTTCCTTACTATTTTCTTAAATGTTATTGTTCTTTTTTGTTTTTTGATCTCAACATATGTATATGGCTTTGTATTTTATCAAAAACAACAGGGGCACTGATTTCTAAAATACAGGTACTAAACCTAGTTTAGAGATCAGCGTTTACAAACAGTAGTACATAATTTATATGAACCTCATTTCTGTTTTATACTATGTAACTTTATTGAGTAATAAAAACATTATTATTATTATTTATTATTATTAAAAAGCGATGGAAAACTTACTTTGAAAAACTTATGAATGAAGAGAATAAATGGAGCGGAGTGCTAAAGCATGTGGATGTAAATGTCGGACTGGTGAACGAGATTAGTATAGATGAAGTTAGATTGGCAGTACGAAGTATGAAAAATGGAAAAGCAGTTGGCCCCGACGGTATACCAGTGGAAGTTTGGAAGCTACTGAAAGAAGACGGATATGAGTGGCTGACTCTATTCTTCAATATGTTGTTGCTTGAAGAGGTAATCCCAAAGGAATGGTGTCAAACCCAACTCGTACCCATTTTCAAAAATAAAGGAGATGTTCAGGAATGCAACAACTATCGAGGAATAAAACTCATGTCACATACTATGAAAGTCTGGGAGAAAGTGATTGAGAGAAGAATAAGAGATGAGAGTCAGATAACCCAAAGTCAATTTGGGTTTATGCCAGGACGCGGGACATCAGAAGCTATATTTGCAATGCGCCAACTATGTGAGAAATACACTTGCATATAGTGTTTGTGGATCTCGAAAAGGCATATGATAGGGTACCCCGAGAGGTTTTGTGGTGGGCTTTGAAAGAAGAAAGAGTGCCTGTAAAGTATGCAGAATTGATTCGTGCTATGTACAGAGAGTCTAGCACTCATGTAAGGTCGGTCACGGGAAACACTGATCAATTCAGTGTCTCTGTAGGCTTGCACCAGGGATCAGCTCTGAGCCCATACCTCTTCCTGTTGATAATGGATGCTCTGACATCGGACATACAGGAGGAGGCACCTTGGTGCATGCTATTTGCAGATAATATTGTGTTGGTCGGTGAAGATGGGGTTGAGGTCCAGAGCAGACTGGAAAAATGGCAGCAAAGGCTGGAGAATGTTGGCTTGAAAATCAGCAGAACCAAAACTGAGTACATGTTCTGCGATTTCGGCGGTCTCTCCAGTCCTGAAACCATTTCGCTGGATGGAATAGCGATAACAGTCTGCTCCAATTTCAAGTACCTCGGCTCCCTTTTACAATGTGATGGTGAGATTGATCGAACTGTACAGCATCGAATGAATACGGGATGGACGAAGTGGCGGCAGGTAACGGGAACAACTTGTGACCCCAGTTTCCCCTTAAAACTTAAGGGGCAAATTTATAAAACTATTATCAGACCTGCTGTCCTGTATGGCTCTGAAAGTTGGCTCATTAAGAGAACGGATGAGAGACGCCTGAACGTAGCCGAAATGCAAATGCTGAGATGGATGTGTGGTGTGACTCTGATGGACAAGGTTAGGAATGAGTATATACGAGGGAGTCTGAAAGTAGCGCCACTGGATGAAAAGTTAAGAAGTAATAGGTTATCTTGGTATGGACATGTCATGCGGAGGGATGAGGAAAATGTTGCGAAGAATGTTTTAGGTATGAGAGTTGAAGGGCACAAGAGAAGAGGCAGACCGAAGAAGAGATGGATGGACTGCGTCAGTGAGCATATGGCTAGGAAGGGAGTAAACAGTGAGATGACGCATGACAGAGTAGAATGGAAAAATCATACATACTGCGCCGACCCCAAATGAAATTGGGAAAAGGGTAGGCAGATGATGAGAAAACGTTGAGAAACAAACCTATCTCAGACTAATTATCGACAACCGCCTAAATTGGAAACAACACATAAATCAAGTCTGCAATAAACTAAGAACTATTCTCGCCAAATTCTCATTAATCAAGCATAACATATCATACAAAACACTTCTCCTACTTTATAAATCTTTGGCAGACTCAATAATCTCGTATGGCCTTTCTAACTACGGCAGGACTTACAAGAGCCACCTTGACAAAATATATGTACTTCAACTTAAAATTTTAAAAGAGATTGTACCACAAAACATAAAAAATAAATTTAAGCACGATCACGAACAACTATTTGATTTCTGTAAAATTATTCCTATACATCAGAAAGTGAAACTAACGTTACTAACCGAGGAGTACTTTAACGTAGATCTTCAAAAATACAAAGCCCGTTATACAAATGGTATGAAGACCCGTAGCGTCAATAATGCAAAATTATTACTACCACGATTTACAAATCTGTACGGGAAAACTCTAAAATACATGGTACCACTCTTAGTAAATGAGCTTCCGAAATCCGTAAAGACTTCATTAACAAAAGTAAACATAAAAATAAATAAAATTGGGAAAAGGGTAGGCAGATGATGATCTTAATCGAAACTATCTAATACAAGCAAAGATATTTGTAATCTGCCATAATTAGGGTTAAGCATTTTTTTAGGTAGTTTCAAAGTATAAAAATGATCAATTTACTTTTGAGGAAGTTTCACAACAGTAAAACAACATATTACACTTTGCCATGGTCGGGAATCGAACCCGGAACCTCATGACCTATAATCACAATCACTAGGCCAACGAGGGTAACAAGATATTTTTTTATTTTTTATAAACTGCCTTGCTTATTTTAGATGGCGAAACGCAGGGAATGGATGGACGAATTGAGACCTCTTCAAGGAGACATTGTTGAAGAGCATTCAAGAAAGAAACCTAAAATAGAAATATTAAGCAGCGAACTATACCTACAAGGCAATTTAATTCCTTCGAAATTGAACATCAAAAAAAATAAAATCACACACCGATGAATCTAATGAATTTTCTCAAAATAATTGCAAAACGACACCACGACATACAAGTAATTTGGAAGAGGACATGACTAGTAGCAAAGAATTGACTCCAAATTTTCGAAACCCAGAAAAATACATGACTGCAACCGACCACATACTAAGACAAATTTTACCGCCACCGCTTCAAGCTTCGGGCTTGACGGAAATCCCAACAGACTTGCATAAAGATTGGGAAATCACCCACGAAACATGTATGACAAAACATGCTAAATTGGATTTTAGTAACCATTGAGTGGTGGTGTTGAAAGCAATATGGAACAGCCTCAAAGTAAATCACCAGCTACTGCGAAAAGAGCTATGATCGAAAGCAACGTAAAATTGATGGACCCTGAAAGTCTACCCTCCGGTCTTAGAGCATGTGCAGCAATGGAGAGCCAAGTGCAAACACAACTTCAATGTCCATCTCCAGTTCTTGATACAAGTGTTGCTACTCAAAGTAACGTGCTACAGTTTCTGTGTCCATCTCTAGTACCTTCAACGAGTTTTGCGATTGAGGGCGACGTAGTGCAGGTCATCTTTAAGCTATTCTCTGGTTTCTGGCATAAGTACTGCTACAAATGGCGCTGTGCAGGTCAATTTATTTCTGAAAATAGTTCTGCGATTAGCAATATAGTGCCAATAGGATCTCCAAGTCTATGAATGTTCCCTAGAACGAGTGACAGCAACGTGGTGCAGATACAGTTTCGAAGTAGTTTACCATCCCCTGAAACGAACAAAATACAGATAACAGAGGACAGATGCATCAGAAGGATAAATCCTAAAAGATGCAAGAAAAAATTAAATTTCGATAAATGTTATCTTGATTATGTTGGCAACCTCTGTTATCTTCTGAGTGTATTGACACTAAAGTGAATATTTTAAATGAATACTTAATCAATATATTTGATATTCATGCACCTCTTCGTAGTGTTAAACTAAAGCATTTGCCAGCTCCATGGCTCACCGATGAAATACGAGCCATCATGTCGAAAAAGGTAGCGGCAAAGACGAGATACAAGCGTCGACCTACACAAACTAACTTCGACAAATATGTGACTATAAGAAATCACTGCAATAAGGTGTGTAGAGAAGCGCAACGCCAACACATCCATAAATCTGTTGAAAATAACGATCCGATGAGGATCTGGAAATTTCTGAAAACATTTGGAGTTGGAAAATCGAACCTAAACCCTATTTCTAAAGACTTCAATATTGACTCATTTAACAAGCATTTCTCCTCCTTGTCTGATTTTGATGAGACAACAAAAGCCAAAACTTTAAAATATCTTTCATCTATTCAAACTCCTAACTACTCTCCCTTCATTTTTAATCAATTGGCAGCTTGTGATGTTAAGAAGAGCATACTTAAGCCTCAGTAAAAAAATGATATTCTTCCTGTCCTATGTAACATTTTCAACCATTCCTTATCCTACGTAGTCTTTCCATCTGCATGGAAAGCAGCTGAAATTATTCCTTTGCCAAAAAAATCGAAACCTTCGTCCTTCTCAGACTATCGCCCTATATCTATCTTACCATTCATTTCTAAAGTTCTTGAACGTCTTGTTTATAATCAACTCAATAAATTTCTGTTAAGTAACAATCTCCTAAATCACTTTCAGTCTGGCTTCCGTGAAGGACACAGTCACGGTACTATTATAATACAGTAGTGTAACTCGGCCGCATGATAGAAATAAATGCCTACAGCCGCGCGGTACGTAAACATGCGTTAGGGCTGCCCATCTCCAGCATTTTATTTATATTTGCCTACTTTCTGTTTCTATTTAGATTTGTGATTGTAAATATCCTTTTTATATAAATAAATGAAATACTTTGTATATTGAATAGGAAGTGAGCCCGCGATAAAAGCTGCAATAGCTTAAAAATCCTTCTATAGAATAAAAAAATGTGCTTTCTCCTTACGCGTTACAAAACTCCAATCCTTAGAAACTCCAACACCTACCTACTCAACTAGAATGCAAAAAACAGCTGACGAGTAAGTAACTTTTTATCTCAGCTTATTAACGTCTCCATAAATTAGGTACCTAATTACCATAATAAATAAATTAATATTAATAAAAATACCAATTAATTAATTATTAAAAAGCTGAACAGCTGACTACGAATGTTTTAAAATCACAACCCTCAAACATCTAAATTTATACGAATATTTTAAAGCTGAAGAGTTTGTTTGTTTGTTTGTTTGAACGCGCTAATCTCAGGAACTACTGGTCCGATTTGACAAATTATTTCAGTGTTAGATAGCCCATTTATCGAGGAAGGCTATATATCATCACGTTAAGACCGTGAAAATTTCGAAAACTATCTAATGACACACTGACGGTAAAAAATTGTTTCTAGTATTATTCATACACACAGATAATAAACAAATATTATTAAAAATAAAATACCACGTCTTTACTTTGAATTATGCAAAGTAACAAAACACACATGCACCGAAGTTTTAACACAAGCGTAAGTAGGTAGGTACCTACCGTATCATGATTCATTCAGAACCGCATATAACTACCTATTTCACTCGTCTCAATAACTTTCCGTTACTCTATTCGCTTTATTAATCCAAACACCTTTTTTTTCGTAAGATAAAAGGAAATACTTATCCATTAAAAAGACACACATTGTGTACCTACCTACTTGTAAGTAAAATTATTTTATAGTCTTACCTTTCAGAGTTTCCAGGTAATTTGAAAAAACTTATGTCTGGATGCGTTATTGACGAATTCATACAACCAAAAATAGCACAATATTTCCTACTCGTCATATTAACTGATTTTTTGAGAAAAAATCGCGCGGTTATTGTTAAAAAAAACAACACACCGTCCGTTCGACACTGCGGTACAGACGTGATTGTCTGCGCCCCGAGCGCACCCCGAGATCGAGGCGCGTAGGTATAGCTCGCGTTTCGTCCGTTTGTATGAAGTTGGAGTACTGTATTATAATTGTACCGTGACACAGTACAGTGTCAGCATTAGTCCACATCACAGATGATATTAGAGGAAATATGGATAGTGGAAACGTAACGGTATTATCCTTACTCGACTTCAGTAACGCAATTAATACCATCGATTTCTAAATTCTCCTTGGTATCCTTCGCTCTCTTAACATATCTCCAGGGGCAATTGATTGGTTTCACAATGACCTGTTTGGGCGTCAGCATCGCATTCGACTTGAAGACTCCCTCTCTTCATGGTGTAATGCAACTGTCGGTGTCCCACAGGGTGGCGTTCTATCTCCATTACTCTTCGCAATTTTTATTAATTCCATTTCCAATAATTTACTTTCATCCTACCACCTGTATGCTGATGATTTACAGAGATACACCCATGCACCTGTCAGTATGTTATCGACTGCGCTTAATATTATTAATTCAGATCTAGAGCACATAAGTGCTTGGAGTAACGACTATGGACTCAAAATTAATCCCACAAAATCACAGGTATGCATCATCCCATAATGTCTGCTAAAATTAATTGGTCACATTTGCCTCCGGTTCAATTTAACAATACCAACATACCGATCAGCAGCAAAGTAAAGAACTTGGGAGTTATAATCGATAGCACCTTATCATGGGGACCTCAGATTCAGGAGGTGAGCCGCAAAGTCTTCGCTGCAGCGGGATCTTTGCGAAGGTTACGAAACTTTCTTCCTACTACTACTAAAACTGCACTTGCACAAACGCTCCTTCTTTCGATTCTTGTCTATGCCGACGTTAGCTATCTCGATCTCACCGAAGCACATCTTGATAAACTTGAGCGTCTCCAAAATTTTTGAATACGATTCATATTTGGACTTCGCAAATATGATCATGTTTCCCACTACCGGAAAAATCTCAGGTGGCTTCCGATCCGCCTTCGCCGGAATACTCATCCTTACGCTTCTGTATAATATACTGTTTAATCCATTTACTCCTATTTACCTCAAAGAACGCTTTAAGTTCCTTCATGACACATATGAAATGTCTGAGGTCCTCTGAAAGCCTGAGATTTTAAATACCAAGGCATTCTACCAATTTCTACACAAAATCATTTTCCGTAGAAGCTGTACGTTTATGGAATGCCTTGCCGGTTACTATCAGACGTGGGCAATCCGTAACCACCTTCAAGACTATGCTATATGAGCATTATCTGTCTCTAATAGTTGAAAATTAGCGTATGTATATATTAACGTATAGTAGTAGTTATGTATAAAAAATATTTCACCTTATAATATTCACCTTATTTACTTCTCTAATTTATGTATACCTATCACCATTTCAAAATGAATCCATCCAAAGGTTGCCTGGTAGAAATTGCACTAAGCGATAAGGCCGCCCTTTGTACATTACATCGGTCGTTAATTACTGTATAATGTCTGTTAAACCCTGGTGTACAAATAAAGTATTTATCTATCTATTTATCTATGTGGACGATACGGATACATTATTGTTAAATGAAGCCTTTCCATCAGATGACTCAACAGATTGGAGTGAAGTGGAAGAGTCATCTGACGAGATGGAAGATGGAGATCAACACACTAAAACTGCAAAAAGACATAAGAACAAGCAAGGCAAACATAAAGACAAAATAAAAACAAAGACAAATCATAGGCACATAAATAGAGAAAAAAATAAAACAAAAGCATTTATTAAAAAAGAAAATGAAGAAGAAAAGAAAAAAGGGAAACAATATTTAACTAGAAAAGGAAAACCTTCCGAATCTCATCACTGAATATTACAATTTTATTTCTTTTAGTTTCTGAGTTGTTCTTCGTTATAAGGGATGTCTTATTATTATTTGCTATCAACATGGGGGTGCCACAAGCCAGGTCAGAGTGAACCGGGGAGTGCCGACTACTAAATGAGTCATTTTCTATCAACAATTGAGCATGGTTACAGTTACACGAATCAGAATTCACCAGCTCATTCATTGCCAGCATGTACTCCCTCATTTGCTTTTCGGAACTCTTATATTTGTTGGTCATAGATACTAACTTCACATTAAGACTATCTAACTGAGAATGAAGGTGTTGTGTTTCAGTCATGGTTCAAGTGACAATTTTTTAATTTTTCTGAATACATATCTAATTTTCCAAGCAATGACAGCCTCTCTCTATTCAATTTGACATTTTTAATGAAATTTTTTTTGCCTATTCACCAACTTTTGTGTTCTTATATATCTATTAATTTTGACATATTTTTTAAATTTATTTTTACTACATTTAACAATCCTACTTGATTTATTCATAACATCATCACAGGTTAGATCAATGGGCACAATAGGCATTTGGTTATTGACAGTGACCATATTTGGGTCATTGCTCAATAGCTCATCGAAGAGACTTTGGTTCAACGTAGTGGTGGTGCTTAGTTGAGTCATTTCTAACTCCAATATTTTAGTGTTTGATTCATCCAATTGACGTTTTAAATTCTTTACACGATCTATGCATGCTTATTACTCAGTACTGCACCGGCTGAACCCATCCACGATTAGCTGAAGCCTATCCCGGGCAGCAATGGCTTCAGTGCATTGTGTATGAATCTGGGCTAGTTCTAACTGTACGAACTCGTACTTAGCTAAGTCAGCGAAATTGTGCTTTATAAGGTTTTAATTTATACAGTGAATTTTAGTGTTCAATAAACGCTCATAACTGCAACATTGGTATTT